TTACCTCTATTTATCTGAATGGCAAAGTTCTTCAATCACACCTAGCTTTTAAATCCCCAGCTCCTCTATCTGAAAAATCACATCTTATTACGCTTAGAGGCATAGAAGCAGAGCCTTTAGGAACACATACTTCTACTTTAAGTATGGATCTTTTTAGTTCACAAAATAAAATCGAATTACTTTGGAGCCTATAAAGATGGGGGTTTCTTGCACAGTGAGCTGGGTGGGCTCATTTTCTTCCTTTGCATTTTTTTCTTTTAACTTAACTCAAACAGATTTTTGAAAGTTTAAAATATGCTGAAATATAATATTTGGTATTAAAATAGCAACAGCAAAAATATCCAGTCTATACCTCAGAGCAGGGTATTTTCCACCCCGTCTGCCATACATTCTATATTTATACTTAATATCCCTGCATCGAATGATGGCACTGAAACTCTGTAAGTTACTCCAACCACAAACATTCAAATCTATCCACAAGTGGTGATAGTACTAAGGCAAGAAGTGAAAACAAGTACATTCTTCCCTCAATAAGAAGACAGAGCATTAAAAAGTCAAATAAGGCTTGAAAGAAAAACACTTATTTTTGGATGAATTTTGAAAGTTCCAATTAGTAGAACACTTGAATACCTAAACCGTCCTCATCAACTGAGATTTGGATATAGACCCAAGATTCTATGACAACTACTTTCAGATAATAAACGTCTAGAAAAGTGCGTTTTGCACCAACAACAGACAAACTATATACACCATGATCACAATTAATGAATGACGGATTTCCAAAAGTAGGCAATCTGGAATACGGAATGTATTTTACAATTGGAACAATGCTATAAAACTATGGTTAGTGCTCCACAACAGATGTCTAAACTCTATTTATTAGAAAATGTTCTTAATATAGCACACGTATGTGATGAAAACTAAAAACATTATCTTTAAAACTGCTACTAGTAAAACGACACAACACTTACACAATTCTAACATCATAATGGGGGTTTGCTTCCACGGTTAAGACTATATGGATCACTCACTCAAAGACAACACAGCTAAGAATTAGTGGAAAGTATTTGTATGGATAGTCCAAAGAAGGGAGGACAGGTGCAGAAAATTTCTCAAAGCGACTTCTGACAGCTCCATTTCTCTCTCTCTCTCTGCTAAGAAGCACACTGGTTTATCAGGGCTGGTTCCACCTGGAAGAGAGAAAGAAAAAAGAAAAAAAAGAGACAGAGTTAAAACAGCAGTTGCAACATTAAGTGCAGTTAGATTGAACTAAAAGATAAACCCATAATGTAAGGAGTTCAGCTCACCTTAGCTCCAGAGGCCTGCATAGTTGCCGTGGAGGCCTGAGGCCAGCGGGCCCCCACCCACGAACAGCTTCATCTCTGGCCAGTTGTAGCAGTGAGTGTAGAGGGCATTGGGGAAATCCTCCACACCGGCAACGTAATTCTCTAGGAGGTCATCCTGGTTGATCCAGCCGCTGCCACAGGTGAGCTTGAGCTTCCTTCCAGAGGGCGCAGGAAAGAAGTCTGGACCGGTTGCAGACCTCTCCTCAAGGAACTTCTGGGCACGGATGTCATAGAAGAGCAGAGACCCGTGGCCTGTGCCCACGGTGATGATGTGCTGGTGGACACTCAGAGAACGCACGCCAGTGCCTCCCTCTCGGGAGCACAGTGGTGGGATGTTTTGCTGGCCTTGGCGCAGATCCAGGAATGAAACATGAGACTGGGATCCCACAGCATAGAGGGAGAACTCTTCACAGTAGGTGAGACACACGTTCTCCCGGCAGTAGGGCAGCCTCAGGGACAGCAGCCTCC